TTTGCTTTAATTTATATGCCGTCCTTCTCCGGAGACTCAGGGCGGCTTACAATGCGTTAAGCAATAGCCTTCATACTTTTGTATATTTATATAAAGTCAGTTTATTGCCCCCACAATCTGGGTCCTCATTTTACCTACCTTTGAAAGGATGGAAGGCTGAGTCAACCTTGAGCCTGGTGAGATTTGAACTTGCAGTAATTGCAAGCAGCAGATGTTAATAACAGTGCTTTAGTCCACTGTACTACAGGTTATATCAGTTGTGGGGTTGTCACCATCCTGCAAACTTGTTCAGGAATTCACCATCACTGGTTGAGTGCAAGATGGGAAGCAGGAAACAGGGTGGGAAGTCACCCGCTCCAATAAAAACCCAAAACACAGGAGATGCCTCTGCCCTTCCTAATGCAGAGATGCAGGAGGGGAAAACAACGTGACAGTAATTTTATACGGCAGAATAGAGATGCAGAAAAATAATTAAAACAAATAGCTCAATCAACAGAGGGATCTCAAAGAGTGGTGTTTATTGTTTAAACACAAGAGGACAAGATTTTATTAGAAAATCCCATTTAGATTGGAAACCCAAACCTGATCTATCTGTATTCCAACTAGAAGAATTAAAGCTCTTGTAGTTGTTAGTCCAGCTCCCACTCCCGCTGCTTTTTTACCTCCATCTCCTTCTGTTTCTGTTTAGGTTAGGAAATAACTTTGAAACGATGATCCAATGGGTCACTGATTGTCTAGTATAAATTAAGACAGGGGTCTGCAACCTTAAACACTCAAAGAGCCATTTGGACCCATTTCCCACAGAAAAGAAAACACCGGGAGCCATAAAACCCTTCCTGTGCCTGACTATTTCTTGAGCAGCCACAAAACTAGCATATGTAATTGAATTAAACGTTCTGTTTTCTTCTAAAACTTTTCTTTTCTTGGATTTATCCATGGTTGGCCTACTGGGAGTTGGAAAGATCAATAAATCGCATGCTGGCGCGTGTCGCACATTAGCGGTTGTAATGCATATTTTGTGACAGGGAGCCGCAGCAGTGGGGTGAAAGAGCCACATGTGGCTCCCGAACCGCAGGTTGCTGACCCCCTGAATTAAGACAATCTAAAAATAGAGAGAGCCTAGAATCTTCTAGCATCAAAGGCTGGGTATCCTGGGGCAGCAAATTGCCTACTGTTGGATTTTATCAATAGAACACTATATTATCTATTGTGTAGGTAGAGATAATACCACAGAAAGATCCAGGGGTTAAGATGTTGGCCCAGGAACAAGGAGACTCAGTTTTAAGCCCACAATCAGGTCCAAATTAGGCAAGGAAACTTACTGGGTGACTCTGGATTCATCACAATCTCCCAGCCCAACCTATCTCGCAGAGTTGTTGCGATTAAAAAAAGAATTCTTCAAAGAAAGGAAAAATATAGTGAATAAACTCATATCTATATATTAACATTGAAGAGACCATGTGAAGTAGCTTGCAAGCTGTTCAGGCTGCTGACTCAATATGGGTTAAAATAAAGATGAAGGAGAACTGGTAGAGTACAAACGCTGAACCATTTTGGAGCCAAATGATATGTTTTTCATAATATTTAACATTTACAGCACTCAACTCTCCTTTACATACTCTGTGAGGGACTTGGAGCTTAATTTATAACCTCTTGCATATAGTGATAGAGTTGGAAAAGAATTTAGTAAATGCAACTTGAAGGCACAATTTTCATCTGATTACAAGGTTTGCGGGAAAAGCATTTCAAAGAGCAATAAACAATATTTTCTCATCCCTTGTGCGCTAACAGTGTTTCTGAATATTTCTAACAAAATATTAAACTATGGAAGCTTACCAAAGCCATGACAGAAGATATTGTGCAGTTTGTGAGCTGAGGAGGATTAAACAGGAATTCTGATTTTCCTTATTATTCAAACAGGTTTTTGGGCACAGCAGCCACAAGCATGGGCAAAATGCCATTCTAGGTAAACAGTCAATGAAATGCCATAGAGATTCCCATTGTAAAAACAATGCCTGTCTCACAAAATTCTTCAAAGCTTTAACAAGCCTCTTTTGTAAATTCAATATAAGAAAATTATCAGCATCACTCTCTTAGATATTATTTGTATATCCTTTTTAACATCAGACAGTTTCTTTTATATGTCCACTACAACATATTTTTCCATACCATTCTTTTAGTCTTGTCATTTTTAAAACTATTTTCAAATCAATCTGGTAATACTTGTTCCTCTTTCATAGTACCTTTTAAATACAGGTGGTCCACATAGGCAAAAAAACCTCTTAAAATTAATTTCTGGACCCATTATGTCCAGTGGTGGGATTCAGCCAGTTCGCACCACTTCGGGAGAACCGGTTGTTAACTTTCTGAGCAGTTTGGCAAACTGGTTGTTGGAAGAAATCATTAGGGCAGAGAACCGGTTGTTAAATTACTTGAATCCCACCACTGATTATGTCTAATTTCAATATGTCCAATGTTAAAATATTTTGCTTCGTTTTGTATTAGTAAATCAAGAGTGTTTGTGTATTCTTTTTTTACTGTCTTTTTATTTTTTTATTTCCTTTTTATTTTTTTTATTTTTTGTTTTCTTCACCTATTTTTTCTTTTAATTCTTTTCTTTTCCTTTTTACTTTGTACAGTGGTACCTTGGTACTCCACTGCTTTGAAACTCATCAAATTTGGTACTCATTTTGACATGAAAATTTTGTCCCACTACTCATCATTTGTTTGGTACACAATGCACAAGCTAGAACTTATCGCTGTCAGCTGCCTTGTGACTCACCACATGATTCCTTATGGGAAAATTTTGTTTGGTACTCATCATTTTTGATACTCATTGAGCTTCCTGGAACCAATTAACAATGAGTATCAAAATACCCCTGTATTAAATTTTATGGATATAAATTGTCATCTTTAAAAAAAATGTAAAAACAATGACACTGACATTACTCATCTCAAAGGCAAAACTGGTTTCTCTTCAGAAGTGAAAATTATAAAGAAAGAAAATGTGTATAGCAATAAAATATGAAGATGCTTCTATAGTGATGAAACTATCAGTGGATGAGGATTTCAGCTGCTAGACCAAAAACAAATCTAGAATGCTGCAAATATTGCAGAATGTTCTGTTTCTTATGTTTGATCGTGCCTGGTGGAGGACAAGATGTTGACTTTCTCACAAATCCTTCATTTCTAGGTGCAAAAGGGCAATTCAGAGGAAGGGAAAGAAGCACAGAAAGGGAATAGGGCTAAATTGAAATCACCAGATAGAGATTCCCAATATCCAGGCTAAAAGTGTTTTGAAGAATGCTGTTTATGTCAATCCTGTTGACACGTTAGTCCTTACAAAACCAAGAACAGCCCAGTTTGTTTCCACTTAACATGCAAATAAATGTTTTTCTAAAGCTTCTTCCTTCTACTAATCTCAACATTCCAGGTTTCCGTTCCTGGTTGCAGGAAGGCCAGGGGAGATAGACAAGTTTCAAAGCAAAGAAGCAAAAATGTTATCCCAGCAAGAAGAGAAAGAGATGGCAGGAGACAGAAAAGCTCAGCTGCTTTTCTATTCAATGATGGCTCCCACGGAATTACTACTGGAGTGCTTTAAAGCCAAGCAGCCATCGATTTCTCCCTCTGTCATTAAATAGAATTGAATCTGGGAGCTGTGAAGCTCATAAGAAGTCCCAGGTAATAAGAAAAAGGAGATTGACCGTGCTAGCAAAAACAACAGCAAAAAGCTAAGATGTGTGCGAGCAAAATGGGCTTTCTTGGTTTTACAGGACTCGCTGTTCCTTTCCAGCCAAGAACAAAAGAAATCACAACATGAGAGGGAAAGAAAAACCCCTCTTTATCCACTCGAAGCCTTTCTTATCACAAGTACACTTTTTTCCCCAGTAACTATGCAGAAGCTTCTTAGAAATCCCAAACAAGGTTAGTGTAGCCCAATTGAACAATGGATTTTGGAGGCCAGAAGTCCAAACTTAACACTTGTCTACAAACCTTTAAAGTAGCTGCGTCTTTCCCCGAGCCCATACAGCTGCCCTTCATGGACTAGAGTGCCCTATATACTCCCATAACTTCCAAACCACCTTTGCAGAAACAAAGCATTACAAAGCCGCATGCTGAAGTAGAGAACCATCATGACAAACATTAATTAATTAATTTAGCTCCCTTTACAGTCTTTTCAGCTAATAAACTTCCCCACATCATCTTGCGACAACAAACTTTTAATTTGTGGCTGCTCTGAGGTTTTTTTCCGCTCCTTTTGTTGTTGTGCTTTATTTTCCATTGATTTCTAGTCCTAACTCTGTGTGCATTTATTTTGATTAGCAATTTGACAAATAACATACTTCCCTATCGGGTATGTGGATTATTATTTGGCTATTTCATCTGCCAAAGCATTTTCCACTCATCATTACTTTTGTGTTACAGAAAAAAAAACCTGTTTGTTCTAAATCAAAAGAGTGCTTACTTTCAATGCTTATTTACTTTTTTTTCCTGTTTCCTCCCCATCTTACAAATACACATTTTTGAAAATCTATTAACAAAAGCCTATTTTGAACAAAATGCTGCCTTTTAAACCTGGTTAAAAAACAGGCAAAAGAGAAAAAGAATTATCAAGGATGAACATGACAAATATTCAATATACTGACCAGAAGCTTTTACTGGCTTGCTTTTGTCCAATTGCAGCCTTGCTTCAATGAATGGAGGTCGAAAAATGCAACTGATGGCATCAGCTGGCATCATAAGATCAATCATGAGCCTCTGATTGGAATCAGCCCACGTGAACATTCAGTATTCATAATGTTATTAAATTTTACAAAACGTAAGTGTAAATAGCAACATAAACTGGAAATCAAGGAAAATATAAAGATTAAAGCAAATGTGCCACCAATGTTCCTGCCTTTTTCAAAAAAAAAAAAAAAACTTTGGCAGTTAAAGACTGGTGTAACTGGTAAAATCTTTCCCTGTTACCTTGAAAAAAGTAGATGAGTTTTGATACTTACATTAGTGATGTTCAGCAATAATTCCTAGAACAAAAGAAAGCAGATAAGTTTTCGCTAACAAAATCTTAACATCCAAGCAAGGACCACTCTGACCTTGATAAGTGCTGGAATATTTTTGCTGAATAACACAAAGTGCAGGCTATGAAGGCAACTGGATGCTTGTTCTTTCAGTTGGACCAAAGCTCTACTGGCAGGGTTTTTGTTTTGTTTTGTTTTGTTTTAAATTTGATTTATATGCCGCCTTTCTCCGGAGACTCAGGGCGGCTTACAATGCGCTAAGCAATAGCCTTCATACTTTCGTATATTTATACAAAGTCAGCTTATTGCCCCCACAAACTGGGTCCTCATTTCACCTACCTTAGAAAGGATGGAAGGCTGAGTCAACCTTGAGCCTGGTGAGATTCGAACCTGCAATAATTGCAGACAGCTGGTCTTAATAACAGGGTGCTTTAGACCACTGTACTACCAAGGCTCTTGTAGGGTTGACCAAAACATTTGTGTGACCACCCAGAATCCTCTAGAATCCATATGATTCAGAGGTGGGTTCTACTTTTCTTTACTACCGGTTCGCAGCGGGGCCACACACACTCTTCTGTGCATGTGCAGATCACCTATGATGATGTCCGGGTCAGTGGGCGGAGCCTCCCACCAATTTTACTACTGGTTCTTGTGAACCAGTCCGAACTGGGGGCAACCACCACTGATATGATTCTGTGTTACTATGTGATACTTCATATTCCTCACATTCAGCCATTCTCTGATGAATCCCTGCCATTCATTGATCAAACATTATACTTGCCCCAAAGGAAGGCAACTCACCTCTGTGCCTCTGTAGCTATCAACTGGCAACTACAATAGGAAACAGTCAGGGGTGGGTTCTACTTACCTTTACTACTGGTTCGCAGCAGGGCCGCACACACGCTCTTCTGTGCATGCGCAGAAGTGTTTTGGTGACATCAGGGTCGGTGGGTGGGGCCTCCGACCAGTTTTACTACTGGTTCTATAGAACCAGTACAAACCGGGGGCAACCCACCACTGGAAACAGTCCTAGTACTGTACCCCTTCCTCACCAAAAAGAATCCAAGCAACCAGAATTTCTATAGACTCTGAGGAGACTCCACTAGAAAAGCTGCCACTTGCAGTTAGGTGGCTTACTTCATGGGAATTTTGTCTACAACTTGTGATTTATTCTATTCTATTCTATTCTATTCTATTCTATTCTATTCTATTCTACATTCCATTCCATTCCATTCCATTTCAATTTTGAGAAAATATAATACAAAATAAGGCACCGAGTGTTTTATTTACAATCTACTTTTTCTTTCTTTCTTTAGGCTACAAATGTTGACTTCAAATTTCCTCTATCCTATTCTTAGGAGACAATGGGTCCCATCCTTCTGCTGTTTTGCTATTTCAATCTTGCAGTAAACCAGCAAAAGCTATGGAATTTAAACCACTCAGCCAGCCAGTCTAATGCTACTGTATGTTTTTGGTACTCTAGTGAAACATGACTGCTGGGACTAGCTGTGTTCTTTTGCAAAATACCAGCAAAAGAACCAACTGGACTCTGGGGGAAAGGGTATCTGTCTGAAATGGCCAATAAGCACCTATTTCCTCCATCCATTGCTGGTCACATAATTTGGACATACTCACTTGTATACCACTTTGAAGCTGTCATCGGACATTGCTGGTTTACAGGGGGAAATACATCAGTACTGTTATGTATTGAATGTATATAGTTGTGTTAAGCCCTGCTAAAGTGAAACTAACCTTTAGATGACCCTAACTGTTAACTCCAACTGTTTTGGAGGGAAACCTGATACATTCATATTTGGGCGGGCTTTTTCAAGTACTATGATTGATTAAAACCCTGTGGGCCTAGAGTATAAATTACAGGCAATTGCCTGCTGTTCTTCAGTTCCAGTTTTGAGTCAATAAATATTGTTGTAACTATGCTGGTCTGCTTTTTGCCTACTGAATCCCACTACACAATAAGTACAGCTATTGATGTTTTAAGGCCTCTCTCATTTGTGGGCTGTAGAAGAGATTAAGGCAACATCTCACTGTGGGCATACAGCAGAACATGATGAGATCAGAGTTAAATACAAATAGAAAAAGGACCTCCATCCAATCTATTTTACAGGGTGGTGTTTGTGAGGGTAAAATTAGGAGAGACACCCGACACATACATACAGTGTAAGCATAATATATCAATACACAATAAAAGATCCCTTCCAAGACACGCAAATAATCCCTCCCCACTTTCTTCTTCCTCCAATGAATCACTCTGCAGGCTTTGCTGAAGTTCTCCTCATTCTCCAAGGCCTCAGTCTTAAATTCTCCACTTCCTCCTTTTTCATGCTGGATTGCACCTTGCCTCCAACCTCATTCCAGTCATTCTCTTTCTCCTCTCTGGTGGGTTAAATAGAGTTCTCTTCCAGCAGAGTTATATTGCCCTCCACTCCCCATAATTGATCCATTGATACCATCCAAACTCCCTTCCGATAGTAAGCCAGTAGCATTACAAACGTAAGGTAAACTGCTCCAAACTCGATTGCAGAAAATACGAATTCAGCAACAGAGTGGTTAATGCCTAGAATACACTACCTGACTCTGTTGTTACATCCTCAAACCCCCAAAACTTTAACCTTAAACTGCCTCCATGGACCTCACCCCATTCCTAAGAGATCCTTAAAGGGGGCATGCATAAGCGCACCAGCATGCCTACCGTCGCTGTCTTACTGTCCCCATTTATCAGTATTTACTTCCTTTGTTCATGTTTATGTTCATACTTAAACTTGCTACCTTGTACATGTTTGCTTTAGATACTGAGCTGAATAAACATATTGGTAAAGCGGCCACCACATTTTCCAGACTTACAAGGAGAGTATGGCTTAATAAGAAGCTGATGGAACATACAAAGATCCGGGTCTATAGAGCCTGCGTCCTGAGCACACTCTTGTACTGCAGTGAGTCTTGGACCCTCTACGCACGGCAGGAGAGAAAGTTGAACACCTTTCATATGCGCTGTCTCCAACGAATTCTTGGCATCACCTGGCAGGACAAAGTTCCAAATAGCGCAGTCTTGGAACATGTTGGAATTTCTAGCATGTATACACTATTGAAACAGTGACGTCTATGCTGGCTGGGGCATGTCGTGAGAATGGCTAATGGTTGGATTCCGAAAGATCTCCTGTATGGAGAATTAGGGCAGGGAAAGCGCCTCAGAGGGAGACTACAGCTATGATATAAGGATATCTGCAAGAGGGACCTAAAGGCCCTGGGAATGGACATTAACAATTGGGAAACCTTGACCTCCGATCGTTCAGCTTGGAGGCTAAAGATGCAGCATGGCCTTCTCCAATTCGAAGAGACACTTGTTCGGCAGGCTGAGGCAAAGAGACAGTTCCAGAACCAGCGAAATCTGGGGGCTGGGCTGGGGACAGAATGTATCTGCCCTCAGTGTGGAAGGGATTGCCACTCTCGGATTGGCCTTTTTAGTCACACTAGATGCTGTTTTAGGACCTCTTTCCAGAGCACGATACCATAGTCTCTTGAGATTGAAGGATACCAATGATGAGAATGTACATGTTTGACAAACAAACAAATAAATAAATAAAGAGAAGAGGGGGCTTTGTATCATTTGCCACCTCTTGATTCCTGCTTTAACAGGTCTCTTGGTTCCATCATAGCATTTTTTGGAATTAGGCTGTTGGACAGGAGCTCTTCTCCCTGACATGTGGGGAAAAAAACGCTATTTGAAATGTAAATGGCAGATTTCTGCAGAGCATGGGATAGGTTGGGGAATATTTGTAGGGGCAGCAAGAGTCCTTGTTGCCCTCTGTCCAGGTCATTGCCTACCTACATGGATTGAGCCTGTGTGCCACAATCCATCTGGAAGAGAGCAAGGCCTTTTAGAAATTAGGATTCTGGAAATGCTGTAGCTCTCCTGGCACAAAGGGGTTAACGATAGAGGCACTGATGAACTGCCAGGCAAGACAGCAGGCAGGAGGAAGCAAAGAGGCCGTTTTATTTATAGAGTTCACTTGCCTGATCATCACCTGCAATGAAAATAGGCTTATTTTTAAACAGACCCTTTTCCTCCTTGTCAAAATAAAAGCACATTAACCAGGGAAGCGAAAAACACACCAATCGAATATTCTGTGCACTGTTACCACAAATACTACAGAGAGACAAGCTCAACAGCTGGGGAACTATAGGTTGTGGACAAGCTGGCCATGACCCATACACTGAAGCTGGGATCTGTTCTCTTCCCTTCCCCTTCCTGCAATGCAATATCAAAATATATTGGATGTTGAATGTCCACTCCCACTGTTCCCAGCCAGGTAGATGGGGATAATAGGAACTGCAGTCAAACATGAAGGGTACCTGATTAGGAAAGATTAATAGAATTTAAAGACCAAAAAACTCCACTAAATTATAGAATTTGGTGCATTGTCTTCTTTTTTCCAAATTAGGTGAATTTTTCACACAGAACTCCAGAAGAGTTTTAGGAAGAGCCTTTTGCAAACTGGTACCACTATTGTAGGATCTTTACATTATAGCTATTAAACAATCTTATATGGTCCATAAGTTCCCTGGTTATAATTAGTTCCCAATCAAGCAATGTATTTATCTTGATGTAATAAATATCTTTATTTCTCTCAAGCAATTATTATTTGAGACTAATGATAATATAGCTTATTGAATATTAAACAACTGGCAGTTTGGGGAGAATATAAACCAAATAATATTTAAAGCTGATGTAGAAAACAATCAAATAATAAAGAGTTGCAATGAAAGGAAGGCAAAGAATTCGGCGAGGAGCATCTTTGTTACAATGAGAGCTAAGCAGGAGGTTCAGAAAAGAGCACATTTAATTCACTGTGACAAAGACATAATATTTGGAGGGTTATACAATTAGGTCAATGGGAGATTGGCCTGGAAAGCAGAGAATGAATGGGGAAAGGGCCTGGAGAGAGTAGTATGGGACATAGGTGAAATTTAAAGAAGTGGTCCATTGTATACAATGTTCAACTATAGGAGAAAGCAGAAATAGAGGGATTCTTGCACCAGTGAGGAAAGCCAGAAGGTCAAAGGTTGTGTGTCATAGGAGGGAGGGAGGGATGGGAAGAGAGGGAGAGAGGGAGAGGGAGAGAGAGAGAGAGGGAAAGGGAGGGAGAGATTTACAAGATGTCACATATGTCCTACATATTGCTAAGGGAAGCATCTTTTGCACAAATAATACTTAATGGAGAAATATATAGAGAGAATACTTTTAGGTTGGAGATAGAAATGGGCGGGGGAGCAGAAGAATCACTTTTCCTTTGCAGCTTGTGCCCCACATTCTGGTCCTACCAGGTCAACTTTAGATGGAGCTTCCAACAGTTGGAAGGAAAGGAAGATCTGCATTTCTTCTGAATGGTTTCAGCTCTGGAAAAGAAAACAACAAAGCAGGAACAAGCTCACATTAACCCAAATTAATCAAAAACAGACCGTGGTTTTTCTTTTCATAAGAAAATAAGAGACAAAGCAAGCAAACTCCTTCCAGGCTCCTTCTGGTTGTCAGAAGGTTGCAAAAGATGATCCCATGACCCTGGGACACGGCAATGGTCATAAGTATGAGCCAGTTGCCAAGCCTCTGAATTTTGATCACAAGAGCATGGGGATGCTGCAAAGGTTGTAACTGTGAAAAATGATCCTAAGAGGACAAAGCAAGCAAACTCCTTCCAGGTTCCTTCTGGTTCACAAAAAGGATTCAAAGATAAGCAGTGATTCTGAAGAACAAAAGGAATGGCCTGGAAGCCTTCACAAAATCTTACCTTATGTTATTTGGCTACCTCT